ACATTTTATACCTTTTAATAATTCTAAACCGATAATCAATCTAAATAATGGTACTTCAATTCATCCGTGTGACACTATGAAAATCTTAGGACTCACGTTTGGTAATCACAGGCATCGTAATAAATTGAATTTTACGCCACATATTCTTAATACAACGAATAAGATACAAAGAATTAGTAATATTTTGTTCGCTTTGATTGGCAATACATGGGGAATTAGCCATAAGAAAAGAGTTAATCTCTACAAAGGGATGATTCGTCCTGCTATCATGTACGGTTATCAAATTTGGGGTGATAAACTTATTGTCAAAACAAAAAATAAGCTCAACTCAATTCAACATCATATATTGCTAAAATCAATTTATGCATATCAAACGGTTTCATGCAACATTGTTTGTATTCTTAACAATGTCGAAAAATTAACTGATTACATTGATTCTTCTTTAATTACCTACAAGATTCAAGACAAGGCTGTTATTTTCCCTACATCACATATCCCGTATTTCTTCAAACCCAATTTTTCAATGTTCAATTTATTACTGGCCATGGCTTATTCATATATATATATTATCATCATCATCGGCCATAGTTATACCAGCTATCAGTTTCAGCATATAATCAAAGGCTTATTTTAAGTACATTGTTGCCGATCTACAGAAGTTGGCACCGAAATCGTAAACAAACGCACAATTATGAACAAAAAAAAATTGATATCTGAAAGCCGGTATTCAAATTCATCGTCATCATAATCAGTAAATGAAAAATGAAAAACAAAAAACAAAAACAAAAAAATGCAACAGGTTGTAAGTGGTCATTATTTCAATAGTTTCATCATTGTTTTCATTTATCTTTTACAAATATATATAATTGAAAAAAAGATGTGATCCCAAAAATGAAAGTAAAACAAAAAAAAAAAAAAATTGAAACCGTAGACAATATATGAGATACTCCATCAAACAATGACATCAAACATGACCAGTAGAGAAAGAGCAACGAGATAATTTTGGCATTAGTATTTACCACACAATCTTATGAATCACCAATCTGCATTCAATCTGATCAAAAATGGTAAAATTTGTTTTGAAAAGTACAGGATAGTGACCAATTAAAATTGTTATAATAAGAGATTGGCTATTTTCTCTTTTACAACAACAACATACACATACACACACAAACACACACAAACACAAACATGGATACAAATCATCATTCAAGATTAATATTTAGAAGATGCAAAAGACAAGATAAAGAAGATCCCATTTGATCGTCGATTATATCGATTTTTTTTCTCCTTTCTTTTCATTTTTTATTCGATAAATAGATCATCATTATATAGAAATGATCAATTTGAAAATGATTATACAAAGTGTAATGATGATAATTGCGCTCGCACACACACACACACACACACACACACACACACAAATGTCTAGATTATATACATTGAAAAAAAGTGTTACGAAAATTGGAAAATTGATCCAAAATTAATGCCCACACGATGGCTGTTGGCTATGGCTGTAATGTAACACACACACACACACACACACACACATTCACACACGGTTAATCGGCATTCAAATTATCGATGAAGAAGTGTTTTGATTTATCAAAAAGTGTGTGTGTGTGTGTGTGTGTATGTGTTGGTCAAATTATAATGAAGATAATGTTTTTCATACGACCGACCGAGATAATTTGAATAAAATTATCTGATTTTTTTTTTTTTTTGGTTTGGTCAATGATATCCTCTTGGTTTTTTTTTTGTTGAAATAATTTTTCAATAATCATCAACATTTAACATTGACAGAACAATGATTTTGTTTTCTGTCATCCTATGTACTGGATTTTTTGTTTCATTTGTCGTCTAAATTTGGATCTAGAATGATGAACCGATGAGTCGATTTGTGGGATTTTTTTATTTTATTTTTTGAATACAATACATCACAGACAAATATAAAGACAGGCGGACCGGCATATATTTGTCATCCATAACAGCAACAACAACGAAAAAAAAGTTTCATGAGCCCTCATCATTATAGATTTTTTCTTTCTTCGAACTAACATTCGATTAAAAATAATAACAGCTTTTTGATGATGATGATGATGATGATGATCAACTGGTAAGAATGATGCTGTTTTGAATCAATTTTAAAACTGTGGCTTGTCACTCATAATCCATAATTGTAGTTGATGATGATGGTTTACCTTCATTTTGAATTTTTTTTTTTTTTTTTGAAAATCTGAAACCTAAAATGGATTAAAATAATAACAGGACATCGACATATAGACAAGAAAATTTAAATTCTGTTCTAAAAATGAAATAATAATAATAATAATAAAAAAAATTTCGTTTCAAGGTAATATCATTGATTAATATCATGGATTCGTGTCATGGATAGATTGATTGTATTGTGATTTTGAATCATTCAAAACCATTTTTCGATCATCATCATCATAATGACCAAGAAGACAGGAAGGTGTTAATGATAAATATGACAACTATGTGGTGATAATGGATGAAAGAAAAACGAAAAAAAAAAAATTACATTTCAGCTCGACCATAACGGGAAAATTTTTTTTTTTCATTTTTTACTCATGTTGTCTGCCCATTTTGTTTTGTTTTCGAATTTTGGACATATACAAAAAAAAACTGATTGTTTCTCAAAATAGATGTATGGATTTCTTTTCTTTTTTTTTATTGGTCTGTTGGTGATTCAAATTAAAAAAAAAATTAGAAGAAAAAAAATCCATTCAAATCCACTCATATGAATCAAATTTAAATTCTGTGTAAAGGAAGTGGAACAAGAAATTGAACTGTAAGTAAAAAAAAAAAAAAAACAAAAAGAAATGACACACAAAAAAATTCATTGATATTATTGAGGAAATTGTTGAATTTTTTCATCGCTGCCATTTTTTGATAGTATATTAGTATAAACAGAAAGAAAAAGAGAGAAAAAAATGAAATCGAAATCGAAATCAAAATCAAAATTACATGCAAATTATGTTGTCGTTCTAGGAAATTGATGAAAAATTATTTCACTACTTGGCTAGCAGTAGCAATGATGTTGATAATTTTGTGATGAAAAAAAAACACCAAGAAAGGCAATAAAAATACACACACACACAAATAAATTTCTACTGTTCATCACTACTGAAAGTTCCTTATTGTTTTATATGATGATTATGATGATGATGATGATGAATAAAATAAATTTAATCAAAACTAACAACAACACTATTGAATTCATCAGATAATAAGACACCCTAAAAAAACAAAAAAAAATTGCATATTTTCTTATTCACAAGGAAAAAAACCATCCGAAAACAAATGTGTGAGAAACAACAACAACAACAACAAGACAAGACAAGACAAGACAAGACAACAGCTTCTATATTAGGTGTAATGAAACGAAATGTTTGAATAAAAATAAATAACGTACACCCACACCATTCATTATTGTTATTTAAGTACAAATTAAGTTTGAAATTTATTGCAGTTATTATACCAAAACAATAAAATTTACCAAACAAAATTAATCATCATCATCATCATGGCATGATCACATTTAACAAATATTCACTTGTAATGTATTTCAGACTAAAAATCATAAAAACACTACATACTCAAACACTATTAGTATAAATAATAAGATTATCAAGTTTTATTTTTGTTTTATTTTTCAATTATTATTCCCAAATACCTGACCAAAACGTATATCATCAGCACACAGTAGTAGAAATATTAGTAATGAAAATCATCATCATTTACTTGAATCTGTATTGAAATTTCATACCATTGATGTTGATATTTTAAACAGTCATTTATATTTTTTTTTTTTGTCATCAGTTTCACCATTTGTGGCAATTTATGTTATGTTCATATATATATATGTGTAATGAACATTTTATGCAAGGTTTTTCTCATATATTTTCATGGGCAATTTTGGGTTCAAACGTTTTTTATTCCAATCCATTGATTTTGTTGAATTATAGATTGGTTTTTCTTGTTTTTTTCCGCTAAATTCAACAGGTGATGAAAAATAAACACAAAAACCACAAAATATTGACAACAAATGAAATGGCCAATGACACACCGCATCAATGACAACAAAACTATTCATTCATCTTCGATTATTGTAGATAACAAGTCAAAAGATTGATTTCACAGAATTTATTAATTGATCTTGTGAAATGGACAGTGTGAAAAAAAAGCTTGAAAATGCATAGAAATGGTTTTTTTTTCAAGAAAATACCATGTATGTGTACTACAATATTAATATGACGTATATGGGCGTAATATAGAAATTATCAAAGAAGAATGAAACAAAAAAATAATCATTTATCAAATAGATGCAATCTTTCTTTGTCGAAAGGTACCACTAATAGCTAATATAAAACAATACGGAAAAGCTCTTGTAACATTCGATGATGTTTTTTCCAGCGATTATTCATTACCAAGATAGCCAGAATGTGAAGGTATCCATTGAAGACAAAAATGTATTCCAACCAAATTTAATTGAATACCATGAACCAATAAATCATTACTTTTACTTGAACAACAAGCAAGAAGAGCAGAATAAGAATCAATAAAGATTTTCGCGGATTGATTATTCCTTTTTAACCATTCAGATGCTTGATAGATTGCAAATAATTCAGCTTGAAAAATGGAACATGAATCAGCCAAACGAAATTTTAAAATATCAATAGATTGATTAGAATTAGCAGGAAAAATCACAACTGCACACCCAACATGACCGGCCAATTTTGAACCATCAGTATAAATATGATAATTGTGATTAAAATTACAAACATTATTTAAAAAATTAAAAGATACAGATGGATGGTGAAAATCCTCAACAGGCAACGTTAATTGAAATTTTAAATTTGATAAGTGATCCACTGGTAAACAATGTTTAATGCGATACATATTGGCAAGATAAATTATTCTTAAATCAAAAGCAGCAGATATATCCAACGAAATAAAAATACCAAATTTCTAAATTACAATTCTTCAAGAATGGATCAAAACCAATCTCATTTGATAGTCGTAGAAGATTACGATAACGGTTTATCCACAACATCAATAACACCTGTTCCACATAATTGTCTTCCAACTATTATAGAAATTAAGCCTTATAAAAAAACTTTATCATATTATTAAACGTTATCTATGGATTGCTCCTTTTATGGTTGGCTGTCTTATTCCATCATTTTGTTTACTCATGTATGTGTTCATAAATAATTGATGATGATGATGATGATGATGGTTATTAAAAAAAAATTTTTTTTTTCCAATTATCAGATATGTCATCAAATTATTTAACGATAATTTACATCCAATTATACCATTGATCAGTGATTTAGGTGCAAAACCACCGGTTGCTGGCTATATAGCACAAATTTTTGATTCAATCGCAATACTAAGTGAGTAAAACAAAAAAAAAAAAATTTCATTTATCTTTATTTATTGAATGCCTTATTATTTCATCTAGATTTTATCACCGTTTGGGCTCGTTATAAACAAGTAAAATTTTACATTGAAAAATATTTCAATAACGTCGGTATCGGCATCAGTCAAAGGCTAAAACGAAACAATCGTTATTTTGCAATTTTTGGTTGCGGATATTCTCTCGGTGTAATGATATTGGGAAATTTTCGCAATACCGAACAGCCATTCGAACATGGTATTGGTTTTGTGGTTATGACATGTATTCTAGGAGAAATTTTTTTCAGGTAAATTTTTTATTTTATTTACAATACAATTTAATATTTAACTTTTTTTTCATCATATTTTATGAATAGGCAAACATTTGTAATAAATTATATTCATTCAAACGTATTGAATCACAACCGGTTACAATACGATTCTGTTTTTGGCTTATCATTATTATTTTATTTATGAGTGGCGTTTTCATAACAATTTCTGTTTTAAAATTAGATTCAATATCACTTTGGTTGGACAATAATCAACGAATGAATTGGCAACCACATCAACCAGGATACATATGGTTTACAATGGGCACTTTTCTAGAATGGTTTCATGTTAATTGTTGTTCATTATATTTTTTTTCAATCAGTCATCGTATGCATTTATTCAAACAATGGCATCAAGTAAAATAAAAATTAATCCAATATACAATATATTTATATATTGCATTCTTTTAAATTTCACTTTTCAGAATTTAATTTCATGACGCAAAAAAACGCAGTAGAATAAAACAGTTTTTTACAGTTTATAAAAAAAAGAAAAGAAAACTTGTTAGAATGTGTTAATATTCAAAACGATTGGCCAATATTGATTTACAACCGTTATAGCATTCAATCATTTTGATGATGATGATGATGATGATGATGATGTATGAGTTTCAATTAAACAAAAGGTTTATTTTTTTCAAAGTAACAACTTAAAACACAAAAAAAATTGAGAGATTTATTGTCAATTCTTAAGAAAATACAATTGATAACGTCGAAAAAAAAGTGTTCAAACTATAAATATATAAGTAGCTAGTGATTTTTTTTCTCTTACTAATTTCAACAATAACAACAATCCCTAAAGATGAATATTGAAAGAAAAAAAAACAATGGTCGAATCTGATTTTTTTAGCATTTCCATCAATGATCATTCAACACCAACAAATTGTAATAAAACAATGAAAGTATATGAAATTTGGTTAGAAAAATACATTTGGCTCTGTCCATTGATCATTTGTATTCTGATCCCATTGATTGGCATAATACCGTATGTAATTTATTGAATTTGTAATGAAATTTTTATTAATTTTTTTCTTTCAATCAATTTCAACAGATTTGGATATAAATTATTTGTTGATAATGAATATCCACCATTACAATTAATCAGCGATATGGGCAGCATACCAGCTGTTGCTGCACATGTTTCACAATGTTTAGATTTGATCGCTTTTTTCAGTAAGAATTGATTGATATATGATGATTTTTCATCATTTTAACAAATGAATAATTTTATTAAAAGATTTTATCACCATTTGGATACGTTGTGAACATATTGAATATTATCGAAAACATTATTTCAACAATGTCGATGATCAAAATTTGGCTAAAAAATTGTATAGAAAAAATAGATATTTTTACATATCCGGATTATTATATTCATTAGGTTTGATTATAGTTGGAAATTTTCGTAATACAGAAAAACCAATGATACATTCGTTTGGTGTTATACTGAGCTTAATGATTATGGCCATGACATATTTTCAGGTAAGCAATCATTAAATATTAATCAATCAATTATATAGATTTAAATGATAATGTTCAATTCATCATTAATTATTTTACCTAATAAAGGTGCAAATTGTTGAAATTTTATATTCAATGAAAAAAATCGAAACCAAACCAATTACACTTACATATTGTTATTTTATCGTATCAATCAGTTGGTGGATTTGTTTCTTTTCATTGGGCATTTCTACATTACAACAAGATACAGTACTAAAATGGTTTGATAATGATTTACGTTTTAATTGGACATCAAATCGACCAGGTTATTATGCATATAGTGTGGCAAGTGTTTTAGAATTTTTTTGTATGAATTCCAGTACTTTGTTATATTTTTCCATTGCAAGACGTATTCGTTTATTTCAAAAATGATAAATCCAAATCTTGAGAAAGAAAAAATCTTATCCATTTCCTGTCTTTTTTTTTATTATTATTATTTAGTAAAAATTTAGTGATTATGTATATACACACGCTTATAAAGCACGAATATCGTCAGATATATAATCATTAAAAAAAATTTTATGACAAAACATTTTGAATAATAATACTAAAAAAAAGCATAGTGTTGAATAATAAACATGGAAATAAAATGAAAAATAAATAACGTCGTGTCAATTCAACAACATTGATTAAGATGTGAAATTGTTGTTGTTTTTGTTTTCCTGGAACAAAAAATTTGAATTTTTAATTTCTATCAATTTATTTCATTTCAACTATTCAACAAAAATTCAAGTACCAAATGTCCAAACATTTTTTTTTTTTTGCACAAAAAAATTGTTTTGCATATATGATCACAATGATAATCTTCAAACGATTGATCAAATTAAAATGAGCCAGGTAAAATTTCCAACGAAAAAAAAAAAAATAAAATAATCAATCATTCATCAAATTGAATGGTAAACATGGTCCATGGATGATACGGGTCAACGGCAAAGATATTTCGTTTTCAAATGTGTTTAAAAAAAAACAAAAGTCAAGGCAAAAAAGCCATTTTGTGAATTCTTCATTGAATTTTTTATTTTGTTCAAGTCAAAACAAAAAAAAATTTTTAATAATAATAAAAAAACAAAACAAACGTATGTCCAGATATACTCAAATATAATGAATGAATGAATGGCACGAACATATATGAACACTAACACACACACACACAAATGTGAATGTGAGAAAGTAAATTTGTTAGACAACAACTGTTGATCAGGCTAATCACATCAGTCATCAATAATTTAATCGAATCAAATTTAATCAAACAAATAACGATAAATCACGATACGATCAGGTCAACAAACGAACAAACAAAAAAAACAAACAAATACTCTATAAATTAGGTCGATGATCAATTTTTATTTATTTATTTTGTTTGGCCTGAATGAAATGAATAAAATTCCTTGAAAATTTTTGAATTTTTTTTTCACTTTTCATCGAAATTTTCAAATAAAATTGTCGAATGAATCATTCAATCAACATCAACATCAACATCATCATCATTATTGTTGTTGTCGTTTGAAGATAAATGAGAAAAAAAATACATAAATCAATGATGAAATGAGAGAAAAACAAAACAAGAAAAACACGTAAAAAGTAACTTCCTGATATATAATATATATGAATAATATATCAACAGAAAATGTTTAAGTAATTTCGTGACTTTTAACTGTTGCCACATTTTTTCTAATTCACCGGATTATGGATGGTGAATTTCGTAATACCATCATCATCATCATCATCATCATCATCATCATCATTTTGGTGAATTGGATTTACGATTGTCATCGATCAAAACATACAAATACTTGGATGTCAGTTCATATTTTTGTTATTATGGCGACTAGGAATTTGTCGAATTATCCAGATGAAGCGATTCAAATGTTTTTTTGTTGATTGACTTGAAATTTGAAACGGTTTTTTTTCGGTGGTAGCTTGACATTTAGTGGTTAGAATGTAGGTATAACTAATGTTTAACGTTGTTATAATGGATCCTGATTGCATTGAAATCTATATAAATATAGCAAATCTGAAAAAGATTTTTCACAATCAATTTTCTGTTCTGCAATCCTAGAAGAATTAAAATAAATTCAACGAAAAAAAAAAAATTGTTTTCACATTTCACAATCTACAAATTACCATCTTGAAGCTTCAAAATATTCAATATTCATCGTGAAGATTTACATATATTCCATGTTAATGTTCATATTTCGGTAATGTTTTTTATGATGATGAATTTTTTTAATGTTATTGTTTTGAAATTCTCAGCTGTTGTTACATACATTGTGTATGTGTCTATTATAATTAATTAATTCGAATCGATTGATTTTTTTATTGATCCAACTTTTTTTTGTTGTTTTATAATAATTGTACTATAGTTAACGAATTGGATTAAAAATGTATAAATCATTCACTTGTATTTCATCTATAATCTTCATTATTTCCATAACATATATTGAATGCAATGGTCAAAATAAAGGTATAATTTTTTTTATTTAAAAATCATCATTAATTGTATACGATGTTGAATTCATTTTTTTTTTGAAAATTCAAATCATAGATGAAGTTTGTTATGGTGAATTTGGTTGTTTTAAAAAAGCTCAATTGAGCATGGACATTAAAGCGGAAAATGTATTTGGTCACTATCCTGATACTCCCGAAAAAATTAATGCAAAATTCCATGTATTTTCCTGTCATGATCGTTATAATCCAACTATTTTGCCTTATAACGTAACTGAAAAAGATTTTCATAATTTGAACTATGATCCAAAAAAACGCACAATATTTATAATACATGGTTATGTTGATTATTATACTCAATTCAAGTGGATGGGAGATTTAAAAGATCTTATTCTACGAGCAAAGCCATGTTCATTGAATGTTATAGTTGTCGATTGGCGTGGTGGTTCAATGAATGTCGACTATTTACAGTCATCATCCAATACCAGATTGGTTGGCGCTATGATTGCAAAATTTATTGAAAAAATGAACAATGTTTACAAGACAGACAATGATCATTATACAATTATGGGACATAGTTTAGGAGGACAAATTAGTGGTTTTACTGGCAAACATTTACGTAATCCGAAAGCACGATTGATACTTGGTCTTGATCCTGCTGGTCCAGCATTCAATGATGTTAGCGAAGACGGTCGTCTAGTTCCGGATGATGCAAAATTAGTTGTATCTATCCATACAAATGGTGGTAAGAACGTACTCGATGGCTTCGGCACACTAAACCCGTCTGGTCATTACAATTTTTTTCCCAATGGGGGTGAAACACAGCCCGGTTGTAATCCCGTTTCTGGAATTGCTGCACCATTGACAAAAGGTGCATATGAAGGATTTCAGATGACAGTAGCTTGCTCGCATCTATTCGTCGCTTATAAGTTGATGAAATATGATGAATCGAAAGATGATGATTTCGAATCAATGGGTTATCGCTGCAAAAACTATGAAGCATTTAAAGCTGGTCATTGTGGCAATTGTCGTGAAGGTTCAGATGATTGTAAACCCTTTGGTAGATGGTTTGATTGGTGGCAAACACAAAGTTTATCAAAAGAATGGCGTGAACCGATCATCTATTATATCGATACGCAGAAAGACCAACCTTTATCATATTTTTTCTATCAGATCAAGGTATAGTTTCGATATTTAGATTATCCTTGGTGTTGAATTAATTATTAATTTTTAAAAATAAGCTTCGAACCGGAAGTCCCTTTCCTACTTTTGATGGTCGATTATCCATGAACATTACTGGTAGTCTACGAAACGATTTCAGCGAAAATATTCTAATGGATAGAAAATTTGAACCAAACAAAGAATACACCTATTTATATAAATCTAGAAAATCGCTTGGTCGTATCGAATCAGCATATGTAACATTGACAAATAAGGTGTTACCGAAAGTTGTTGCAGTTAGTATGGATAAAGCTATCACCGCGATTCCTGAGTTAAATAGTGAAGTGACCAGTGCTGATCTCCCCAGTTTAATCAAAAGTCGAATTATTGTCGAAGAGATACAATTCAACTACTTGAATGGCTATTCTGAAAGGTTTGTTTTATTTATTTATTTGATTGGTAATAAGAATTTGTTTTTTTTTAATTTTAAAATGAAAAAAATCAATAGTAAACGCCATTCACTGTCATCAGTGTTGAGAAGCCGAAATGGACCCGTGCAAGTAACAAACAAAGATGTCACACATTTCCCCAAATTGAAATCATTTAACAATATAGAAATTAAACTAATCATAAATGAAACACATGTGGGATGATGATCGAAGATAATCACCCTCGAAGCACAATGTTTGGTTAACATTGAAAAATTTAACTAATAGATTTTTGAATAGGATTTTTAAAAGTAATTTAGAAAAAAGTCTAAGATTTTATTCGTTAAAATTTATGTTCACGAATTGGATATAGCCATTTTAATCGTTCATTTTTATTCAATCCATTCATAATCAAGAAATGAATAAAAGTGATAATCAAAAAAAAACTGTCCAAGAGATTGTCACTAAATTATTCACACCTTTTTTTAATGTATCACTCAATTCAAATTATTTTGATTGTCATCATCTAATACCAGATTGGTTGATGCATGATTAACATTTGGTTTTGATCCAGCTGGTCCAGCATTTCATGATGTTTATGTGAAATTATATTTGGCCAGTTTACTATGGAAGAAATTCTTTATTATGAATTTCGTTTTAAAAAAAATCGTCATAACGTCATCATGTGATTATCAGATAGATGTATTGTGTTTGTATGTGTGTATGATAAATAAGAAATAAAATGAAATGGAAATCAGGAACCAAGAAAGAAGAAAATTCGTCAAACACGTTTTTTTCGATTTAGCGGTTTTTGTTTTGTTTTGTTTGTTTTTAATTATCAATTTCCAATGTTTAATGATTTTGCCAGTCCATAATAGCCAAAGTATATATGAAGAAGAATTTGATTACAATGTTCATTTGGTGGAAATCTTAATCTTTGAATGTTGCAAACAAAATGATTGACGAAAAAATTTTTTTTTTCACCATGTGACACTTGAATTGATGATGATATCCATCATAAATCAGATTGTCAAAATTCGTGTGGCCATGTTTATCGTATCGTATCGTTCATTCATTGAAATTGAAATCGATTTTTTTCCTGTTTGTTTTAATTCACTTTTAAATGTGGTTTTTTCTTTCGTTTGTTTTTTTTCCATCCATGATTAAATATTCAAAACATCATCACACACACACACACACACACACACACACATATGGAAACCGAACAAAATAGATCGATGCGGATGCGAATAATTTGATATGCATTGGGGCATTAGCGCAGCATGTCATTAGGCGTAAAATGAATGAAAAAAAAAAATTAAGTAAAGAAAATGTTGAATAGAAAATGAAAAATATGAAATGTAATGAAAATTGAATTCAATAGAAAAAAAAGAAACACATGTTGGAATCAATACAAATCACACAGTGATAATGGCAATTATAATTACCAATGGCCTATTCAATCATCATCGTGATCTAATCGTAAATTTGCTCAAATTGCATTTTTTTTTGTTGTTTTGGCCATTGCCAGAATGAATTAATTAATTATCATCATAATCATTATCGTTGTATGAAATCTACGATAATCATCTATTTGGATAATCCATATATGAATAAATCATGATTGGATGAATAATCAAATAGAAATCAATTTATAGCTAATATTTAATGGTGGAATCCTTTTTCTAGCTAGGAAAAAAAATGACATCCAAAATGATGATGAAAGACCATTTAATTTTGTTTTTTTTTCATTCCAACTGATGAGCAATCATTTTATTGTAATACGAATATGAATAAGATTCAATTGAAAATTAATTAATCTTTTTTTGATGATTTTATGGACACTATTATCACCTTGAAACAGACAAATAATCCATGTAATGATCTGAGAAAAAAAAAATGAAATTTAATCAAACACAAGATCCTGATATTACAAATTTAACAGATAATAATTTTCCATGATATCCAAATGAATCGGAAATCATATTGATTGATAAGAAAAAAAATGTCGTTGTCACTGTTTTTATTTTACATGATATTTGTACATCATTTTGAAGGTCATGAAAAATGGAAATGGAAATGAGAAAAAAAAACAGGATATCTTTATGTAATAACCAAAACAAAGAAGGAAAAAAAATGAAAATCCAGTCTCATTAATAACATATCAATATCATTATCATGATCATCATGATCATCATCGTCTGAATGATAATCATCCCTGTTTAAAAATTTTGTCTTTTTTTTCCACCGATATAACGATGTTCATTCAGGTTAACAAATGTCACCACAACAAATCATGAACACACACACACGCATACAGTTAACAGAAGCTCATCGTTGTCTATTATATATAATACTTATTACTCACCATCATCATGATCGTGGTCGTTAACCATCTGAATGATGATCTTCATAATAAAGATGATGATGATGGCTACGGATGACCTTATCATCATCATCATCATCATAAGAAACTCGTTTTATTTGCATCTAAAATGTCTCAGTATCATCATCATCGTCATCATGTTGTTTATCATTTACATATTGAAAAATTGTTTTTTTTTCCAAGAAAAAAAAAACAATAAATAATGATGATGATGACGATGATGGTTTTGAAAGTTCTGTTTTAAATTTATCAACAATAATTTCCAGTAATCATTTGTAATCATAAAGTAGTCACAAATATGAAAAATGATGATTTTAGAAACATTTGACTTGTTGTTCAAATTGAATTAAATGTACATGATGATGATGATCTCCACACACACACACACACACACAAAAAAATTGTTGAGCATCAATTTTGTTTTGTGGATACATACGAAAAATGACCAAAATAATTGTGATTAGCTAATAATTGAATTGATATTAATTTCATCTACCATTAAGTATTATTATCTATGGCCAATCAAGTTACGATTTAAATCTTTATCATTGATATTGAGTAATTTTTATTTCCCTTTTGACCATACAATTGATCATTTTTTTTTTTTTTTTTGATAGTCACCAAAATCAGAAAAGAGATGAGTACAAAAAAAACAAAAATTAATTGAAAATGGAAGTAAAATGCTGTCTGTCGTTTCAAAAAAAAAAAAAAAAAATCGGTTTTTTTTTCTCAGCACCATAAAAATCAAAATAAAGACCAAAAATTTTCAAAGGAAATGAAAAAAAAAATTGTTTTTCATCTGAATCTTCTACAAAACTAGCCACAATTGTATATGTTCCAAAATAAAATCTAAATTGATTTAATTCTGAATGAAATCACTTTGTAGATTGATATATCCATTCAGTTCATTCAATCATAAAAAAATGGATCATTTCAATAGCCTCAACTTAAGCATTGATGATGATGATGATCATATTTATCCATCCGTATACAATAGTTTTTACTTGTTTACCCGTTTCTGTATTGCCATATTTATTTCACATCTATTATGATGATGATGCCATCATCATCATCATCTTCAAAAAAAAAAATAAAAATCATATTGGGCCATAATAATAATGGCTGCTGCAATGAACTGAATTTTTTTTTCTTTATTTTGGAACCTGTTTGACCTACAAATAAGTTGATGATCCAAGCTACAAGCTGACATATCTCCCCATGTGTGTGTGTGTGTGTGTGTGTTCATTCATACATCGTGCATACACGTTTCATTATTATGATAGAAAACAAACAAGAAATCAGAAAAAAATGAAAAAAAAACGAATACGAACCATATGAGAGCCGGCAGCTCATCTTATATTTTGTATTTCGAAATTCAATTCAATACTGTTGTCGCATATATAACTCCTAAACAGATTTCTTATGAGTATTTTGGAAAATTTTACAAGTTAAAAATGATGTGAAATTGCATAGATTTTCACACGAAAAAAAAAATTCAAATTGTCAAAATCATTACACCTGACTATATGATAATAGTGATAAAGACCTCGAAGATTGATTTTCAACTACTACTTTTATCCTATATATAAACAACTTGAAAGAAAATTAGCTCCAAACATTAAATGACCAGAACTGTCTTAATCATAATCATTATTATCATCATCATCATCATCAAATCAATTTTTTCAATCAGATCAAAATAAAATTTTGTTATGGGAAAATAAGAAACAATGTTTCACATTGAAAATGGTCGATGATTGGCGACAATAAATGATGATGATGATAATAATTGACATTATGCAAATTGGCAACATTTTCTTTTCATTGTTATACATCATTGACTTTGAAAATTTTCACATGATTACAACAACAACAAAAACATTAACAACAATAAAAACCATGAATACATCAAAAACAACTTCATTTTTCACTTCAATGTCGGATAGTATTCATTTTGGACAAAATGATCGTTTTTCGAGTTAATTTGAAGCAGACAAAGATTTTTTTCTCTCTCTCTCTCTCTCTCTCTCTCTCTCTCTCACTCTTCATGTAGATCATCACCATCATCATCGATTCAATTCAAGACAATTAGAATCAAAAAAAAAAAGAAAAATTCTTCAATTTAAAAATATTTTCGAACAAAAAAAAACAGAAAAATCATATTTTACAATTGGAAAATAATTATAGGATTTATGGAATGATAAAAGGCCGGAAAAAAACATTCAAATTCACATTCCATTTAAAAACAATGGAAAAAAATAATGGAAAAAAAATCGCTTGCCCGTATCACACATCATCCATCATCAGGCCAAATATTGAAAAAAAAAAATCACCACAAATGTACACTATTCATTCGCGGTGACCTTGTCTTATTCGATGGCAAGCGTTTGTCTGTTTGTTTGTTTGCACGTGTTTTTTTTCTTATTCATCCATTTAGATCAATTTTAGTAGCATCATATTTTGCCAATTTTTTTCATCTTAAAAGCATCAAAATAAATTATAAATAAAAAAAAATATTAATTGATTAATATGGTGATGGTTCAAGATGATTTTAAATTTTTTTTTTTTGCAGAAAATGGATTTGTTTTGAAACAAAAAAAAATTAAAATTTTTTTATTTACTACTGATGTTCAATGATGACGATTTGATCATGTTTCATATGGAGGCTGGATTTGGCTCTTAAATCATTGTATATCTCTGTTTTTGTCTTCTTCCATTCACCATGATTGTTTGAGCTACAATTGACTTTTTGAATCTTAAAATCGATACCATCAAATAATATAGGAAAACGTGCCTAAATTCAAATGTTTGAAACAACAACAACAACAACAACAAATGATGCCCCCGAAATTGTTAAAGATGATTTGTCAAAAATGAATTCATATATATAAACTGAATCAACAATGATCAAACATTGAAAGCATTGTTTTTTTTTTTTTTTTTTGATTCATATTAATAATAATAATGGTAATGGTAAGAAACAACAAAGATAAAAAAATCATAATAATAATAACAAAATAACAACAGTAAAAAAAAAAATATCAATGTGAAATGTGAAACATAATAATAGTAGAAAAAATAATTTATCCAATGTGATCATCTTGTTTGAAATTCTGAATCAAATTTTGTTGTTTGAAAATTATAAAAATTTTGGATGCTGCTGCTGCTAATATGTGTGTGTGTGGATGTGGATGTGTTCATTTTCCATTTTGAAACTTGACCCACGATTTGTCCCGAAGAGGAATCAACTACCACCAACACAAACACAAACAGTGTAGACATATAATATACAATATGTCGATTCCACAATTGTTGTAGGATGCATCATATGGCACATCATGAACATTTTATGACTATAGTGAATAAGACATTGATTGGCATCAGACAGATGTATGGATTTTTCAATTGTTGATCTGGCCTTTCTTATTCATATATATATTATGTATGTTTGTATATGTTTATGTGTATGTGTGAATATTATATAGAAAAAAAAACAATCACTGACATTGTATGATTGTTTAGGTGATCAGGAAATTTTATATGTTGTTTAGAGATCAATTTTTGAGTAAAACAAAAAAAAAATGACAGTGTGAAAAAAAGGTGATGTGAATATATAAGTTTCTTAGTTTATATTAAATGTCATATGATTCATGCATACAACAACAACAGGATGACAAGATTTACAATCGATTGTGAAACCCGTTGATTTATAAATGAAGATGATGATGAAAAAACAATAGAAAAAAACGATTGGAAATTCAATGAAAAATTGTGGATGATTTTTTTTTTTTTTTGGGGGAGGATTCTGTTCATTCGTTAAACAGATGTTTCAAGATTCAATGATGTTGTCGATATTTTGATAAAACAATTGGAAATTATCTTCGAATAGCCTTGATCATATCGATGAAATAATAAGGAATTATCATCATCATCATCATCGTTATTATTAATACTACTATTTGTTGCTTGTTTACCATTATTTGGACGATGATAACAATTATTATTCAATGTTATAATCCTATTATGATAATTATTCTGTTGAAAATGATCATCATCATCATCATCATCATTATCATTATCATTATTATGATAACAATGAAATTTTTTTAAATGATTCAAGGGAAATTCATTACATCCAACAACAGTTGTCAATTTTTTTCCATTATCATCATTATGATTATTGAGGATATTGTTATTTGTTTGAACATTTTCTGTTACAAAAGTTTTTGTTTTCTGATTACAATTTACATCATTTTTATTAATAATGTTGAACTTTTTATGAATGTTCCCATAGTTATTTGATTGTTGTTGTGTACATACATTTTTGGTGATTGTCGTTATTGCTGATGATAATGGTTTTGATGATGATGATGATGATGAATGATTGAACAATGCTGATGATGATGATGATGATGTTGCTGATGAAGAAGATGATGATGAAAGACCATCACCAACATTACTGATTGTCAATGGTAATGAATTGGTCATTCTCAGTGTTGGATATGTTGTTGTTTCATTCATTGCTGTTGGCGATGTTAAAACGGTGCCACAATCCAAATTAATCATCTGATGATCAAAATTATGAATTGATTCAGACACTATATTCGATACCGGTTGACTATCATTAGTCTTGTTTGAAAGGGCCATCTTTTTTGGTGATAGCAACATTGTATTTTCATAAGTTTTTTGCTATTTTGATTCTGATTATTCTTATTATCATCATTATTCTTTTTCGTAATTCCCAATGTTGGTGATAATTTCAAAAGATTAGAAATATTCGGTGATGTTTGCAGTTTATATGATGAATTATTCAATTCAAATGTTGTTGGCGTCGGTGGTTGATTCAATGTATTGCTAGCTGTAGCTAAACGTGAATGATATGAATTTTTTCCATTACAATTGATCGCAAATTTTGTACCATTTTTATGTTGATAATTCATATTGAATTGATTTAGATTTTCATTTCTTGAACAATTTTTCGTTATAGTTTTCCGTAGATAGGTACGAAATTTTGGATTGAAGAAAAAATAAAGTATTGGATTTATACAGGAATTTGTTGCTCCTAGCCATTGTGCCAATGGTGTTAAGCCAATTATAATAAGTCCTTTATTTGTTAATTTTGAAACAAACAGATTTGATATTGAACAATAAAATGAATATATATAGAATGAATCATACCTTTGAATGAATTTTCATCAATTTGTGTGAATTTAATAAAACAAAAAATAACATATAATGGTAGCCAACTGAGTACAAATACGGATACAATTGTGATCAACATTTTAAGCACTTTAAGCCTGGATTTTTCCACAATACGACTATTCATTTTATTGATACTTGAATGTTCACCATTCATTATAGCATTTGTTTGGCCATCACCATTACTAATGATCAATGGTAATTGACGTCGAGAAATTTTTACATATAATAATAAATAGAAAAAGATTGTAACGGATACAGGTAATAAATATTGCAGACCAAAATTAATGAATATAAAATAAAAATTTGAAATCCATTCTTCAGGCCAATTTTCATGACACATCTATAAAAATCAGGAAAAATAAATAAACAAAAATTATAGAACGATGCTGCCATCTATTGTATCAAATTCATTCAAATCAATTGAATTTTTTTTTATCTCATCACACTTACCACTTGATTATCGACGGTATAAACATCGAAAAATATTAACCACGGACTTGACAATGAAAAGCTGAATAGCCATATGAATACGATAACATATCGGCGAACTAATGGGCTGAATCCATTATTAAATGGATAATAAATTCCATAGAAACTGTCAAAATCGATTTGTAGAAAAAAAAAAATAATGAAAAGAAAAATCAATATTGCGATTTTATAATAATCAATTTTTATCGATATAAAAAAATAAAAATACCGATCGATCGAAATGGCAACCAAAGTATATATGGATGCAGTGACGGCAACACCTTGAAGAAATGGAACGGCTTTACATACAAGACGTCCTAGAATCCAGGCTAAAAAAAAGAAAAATTCAAAATTTGATTTTTAATTAATGTTCAACGTAAAAATTGTTTATTATTACAAATGATAAAGACAACATTGAAAATTGTTCAAAATTATCGATTTTTGTTAAAACTTTGTCGTCCATTAGTGAATGATGGTGACAATCTGTTAACTCAATATCATCTTCGATATGATGAAAATGTAAAAAAACCCGTAGCGCCCACGTGAACTGACATAAATACTGATTAGTTAATAACATATTGGCATATGGCAAACAAAATTTGTCAACAAATATTTTTTGAACGAAAAAAAACGTCCATTTGTCAAAAAAAAAAAATTGTTTACAACAAAATTTTTAATGCTTGGTCGTTTTACTTGCTAATGATTTCATCATTAATGTCAACATCATTTTCAATCATTCATTCATTTGGAATTTTTTTTATGCGAAAAAAACGTCCATTTGTCAATGAGGAGATGAGCAATCGAATTCAATGTTAAAAAAAAAAAAAAATTGTTTACAACAGAATTTTTAATGCTTGGTCGTTTTACTTGCTAATGATTTCATCATTAATGTCAACATCATTTTCAATCATTCATTCATTTGGAATTAATTTTTTTTATGCGTAGGACTTGGAATTGGTTGATATTTTTTTTTATTCTTACAAATACATTTTAGCTATAAAAACTTCTTGGGAAAAAAAAAGAATCGAATGAGAAAATTTTTTACTAGTAATTTTTTCATTTTATTTTCTATCTCATTTATCAGTTTTATCGATTATTTTGTTGAACTACAAGAAATTCACAAATTCAATCAATTTATATAATGATGAATTGTTTTCGTTCGATGATTATAATAAAATTCATTCATCAGATTCCGGTTGTTTGTTTTTATTCGTTTTTCCATTAACCTTTCAATGATTTTCAAATCAATTACCAAAATATTCATTGAATAACGTCAATATTTGACAATAAATCAAATCAATAAAATTATCAAAACATTGTTAAAAATCAATTATCATTGAAAATAAAAATAGCCAATAAATCAATGATAAACAATAACAACTAAAAAAAAAACTTACTTGTCAATATATTGCCAAGCAGATTTGGTATTAAACAAAATAAAATGACCAACAAATCGGCCAATGCCAAATTACAGATGAAATAATTGAATACATTATTATTATTGTTGGCCATCATTTGATTTGAATTCGGTGTATTATGACGCATCATATTGATTACCCATAGTACAGCACTATTGCCAATTAATCCCATTATAAATACAATTGAATAGGCAATACAAAGTACAATGGTCCAAATCAATGAATAACGCCATTGTGGTTCTGTGGCCTGATTATTATCATGATTATAAATTAAAGATGATTCCGATATTTCAACAATTTCTGATGCTGTTGTCATAGATGATGATGATTCCATTGTAGCAGCTAATGATGAATTAATGTCTCAATAAATTACATTGGATTTAGATTAATATTTTTTTTTATGAAATCAATGTAATAAGTTTCATTTCCGTTAATTAGCTTTGATGGCCATTGAAATAATAAATTATATCAAAGGTCAATGATATGATTGTTCAATTTTTGATTGACCATGTAAAAAAAATTAAAAAAAAAAGAATTGATTAGAATTCAATACAAAGTTATTGATAATCAATTGAATAATATATTGATTGAGGATGAACATTGGCCTATTATTAACTGAACACAAATGCCAAATTTTTTTTTCGGTTTCCGTTTTCAATTTATTTAAAAAAAAAATTTTCTCTACATTATCTTTAACATTGAAATATTGATGGACAATTTTTGGTCACCATGATGATATCATGATTGTATACGGAGATGCAAAAAAAAAAATAATAAAATACTTAAAAGGGAGCCATATAGATTGTGAAAAATGGTCAAGGATCTTTCTTTTTTTACGTTGTCAAGTCAAATATGTTATGTCCAAGATCAAGATAAAATTGTCACAACATAATAACATGCCCACACACAATTATTAGCATCACATTTTTCTCTTAATTAGTTATGATGACTCAAGAATGTATGAATCATACATAAAACAAGATTTGCATTGTTTTGTAAAGCATAAAATGTACAATGTTTTGCCTACTTCTTGTACTATTTTATCCATTGATGTTTTTGTTGTTGTTTTTTCTTTGATGATGAATGAAACGAATAGATGGAAAGAATAAAAATAACGATAATTGGTTTATATTTTCAAAAATAGTAGTCCAAAATTACATAATGTACATAGATAAAAGAGGCAACAAAATAATAATAGCAAGATAAAAAAAAATACATGAAATCAAAAAGAACAGAATCAATCAATCAATCAATCAATAGGACTTACAATATATATTCTTTACTGTCGTGATTCTGGATCGGAATTGTTGCTTCATAACAAATATATCTACACCATGGTGATCAGCGATGATTATGATTAATCGAATTAGAGAATGTTCTGTATTTATATGCAACCAAAAATGTCTTTTTTTTCTGGGCCAAATATCATTAATTCATCTTTTTCTTCATACTCCATTTACTTTGTTGATTTGATGTAAACAACAACAACAACTAAAAAAAAAAAAAAATAAATTCTCCCAAGAGAAATAAATGATGTCAATGGCAATTTGTATCATTTCTTCCTACACTGCTGACACAAAAACCGATATTTGTTTGAATTTTTTTTTGTTCACACTTTTTTTTCTTGTTGATTGATGTGTATTCGTTGTTGATAATGTGAAAAATATTTATTTTTTATTGAAAAAAATAAGTGAAAAAATCTATCAACATCAATGAATGATGATTTTTCAATTCAATATCATGAATGATGCAAAATAAACAATATGTAAATAGAGTGGAAAAAATAATTTTTTCGTTCTATTTATAAATGTAAAATGAAAAGATTCTTGAAAAATAATTTCTTTTTTTTTGAAATTTTTATCAACTAATGATGATAGTGAATTCATTCGCATTGGATGCCATTGGATAAAATAGTAATTAGTTGAAGATGAAAATTGGAAAAAAACAATGAGTGAAATTAAAAATAGAGAGAACAATAGAGATGAAACAATAAAACAATTCGTGTGAGATTCACCGTATCGATACACATTCGTTTACAGAACAAATTGTATTGATAATAAAATTCTAATTCTGATTCTGGTTCATCCCAACGATTATCTAATTTAGACCAATAGATGAATGAATCTCATGAATTCAAGTATTCATTATATTAAAATGATCTAACTTTGTTTTCGTTATTTTGTTTTTTTTCTGGTTTTTTTTTCAATTTACCAGATAGAATTTTTGTTTTGATCATCATTCATTTTTTTTTTTTGAGTGCAAACAACTGCCTTGAGCATAAATCCAATCTTTGAATTGAATGGGCAATCTAGAAAAAAAATCCAAAGAAAAAAATGAAATTAAAAACACAAAATTATTACTGGAATGCATTTGAAGAATAATGAGAAGCAAAAAAACGCTTGCACAAAATTTGATTTCCGTTTTATTGTTGATTACAGCAAAAATGTTCCAATAATAACAATTATGCATTGAATGAAAAACCCAACTGATATCATCAAAATTCAAATGAAAATCCCTTAGGATTTATAGAATATAAAATGATAGAAATACGAGATAAAAAGAAAAAAAATTTTTTTTGTTTCAATGTATAAATAATTATAACATCAACAATAACAGCAGCTAAATCAAAATCAGAATCTCATCATCATTAAATTTTTTAACAAATACTTTCTCCTCAAAAATTTACAGGTTTTTTTCATCATTTTTTTTTCTTGATATGTATTACGACTTTTAAAGTTCATCATCATCTTTCATGAAAAACCTGAAATTTAGTTCGTCGTCGAATGTCAATGTCCATGGTGATGTTTGTGAACGTTCAATAGAGAATGCTTATATATCTTAAAATCGTGACTATAAGAGGCAATTTTATTTTATCATAAGATTATTCTTATAGTAGTGATTTTCGGGTAATTCGTATATGTTAAAATGAGAAAAAAATGAACATTCTATCGTTATCATAGTATTTCAATGGGAAAAACCTGAATAATATGATAAAAATAATATTTTAATCTATGAAATTGAATATGAATTCTTGAAAAATTGTTCAATTATTTCTATCTACGCTGATTGCCGCATTTTCTTCACACGAATCACTGTTTATCATCCAGGCAGTTTGGTTTTTTACCACAACAATCTGCAAAATTGGCTCTGAATTCTATTGTTTCGAAAATCAATGATTTATATGATCGTAATAATTTTGGTTCTGTAATCTCTCTTTCTCTCTCTCTTTTCCCAACAATTCAATTACGCTTAGATCCCGAACTTCGACCTAAATTTGTATAAAATACAATCTATTTAGAATCACGAAAAATTCGGCGTATATTTGTATCGTTTTGTTTTGCATAATTCTAATTGTTCGTTTTGCTCATCATCGACGCAGTTCTCGTTGAATTTATTGCTCCAGTTCTCTGCTTTCCATTTGGAGTGGTTTCGATTTGCGAATGATGCTAATTTTGATCCTATATTAATGTGTCTGCTCTGCTGCAAGGTAGACCGTTGCCTTTATTTTTTAATTTATATTGATTGTATTTATTCCAAATTAGTAGTAAAATAATAGTTTTTTCCTTTTAATTTTTTTTAATATAATAATGGACCAATGGTTTCTTGTTTTTGAGAATAACAATGACATATTTTTCTCATTTTTTATTTGTACAGAAAACGAAAGAGAGAGGGGAAGTGAGGAAGGGAAGGAGAGAGAGAGAAAAAAAATTGCCTAAAATTTACCCTGTGCTTGTAAAATTGATGAAATTTTATAAATCATAACAAAAAAAACAAAAATTCAATTTAATTTTGCTTCTGGCAAAATTTTCCTAAGATAATTTTGTTGTCCACTACAACTCGATAATTTCAAGTTCATTCATAGTTGTCCATGTCACCTTTTTTGTGGCAGATGATTGTCAAATATTTTTGTCAAATTTGATTGATTGTGAATGAAAATGTTATTATTAAAAAATTATTATTAATAAAAATAAAAAAAATGTCAAATTCCAAATTAGTAAGTTGATAAATATGTAAGGATATATTATGATTAATTTGCGATTTAAATATAGATTCTATGTTTATTTTTCAAGTTTTGTTGATTTTCGCTGGAATTTCTTGTTGCCAAGTTTGTTCTATTAAGAATATATATACCATAAGAATTTAGACAATTGTGTATGCCATTCACATTACAAAAATTGAAATGTCAAATAAAGAACAGAATAAAAATATGTATGCATGTCAGGGAATTATGATTTTCATAAAATCATAACAATCCCACGAATGGAATCAAAATGACCAATTAAACATCCGAACATCAAAGGATGCGATGAACATCAGTAAACCTTTGAACATCCGATTGATAAAACAAAACAAATTATAATTCTGAAATTTACTATATAAGCTAATCTAAAAAGAATAATAAAGTACGATAATTTTATTGGTGATTTGAGTGAAACAGCAACTGATTTTCCTGATATGCACATATGGATAAAAATGATCGCGAGTGAAATGATCAAAAAGTAAATTTATTTTCAATATCATTCACGTGAAAAGAATTTAATATTTTTTTTTGTTTTTGTTTTGAATACATTATGTCAAAAATTTCATAATCCTTAAAATACTTTTTTTTCAAAAGATTTCTTTATCAGGCAAAAGATTGCCCCTCATGGATTATTCATGTTTACAGTCGATAAAAGATAACTGTTATGCATATATTGAATATAATCACGGTTCTGGTTTCAATTTTTCCCTATTTAGTTTCCAGTATTTACAGGTTTAAATCGATTTTTTTTTGATTGAATTGGATTTAATTTTTTTCTCTACTCGTCGAAATTCTTGGTAAATTACGATTTTGCTTTCATTTCAAACAATCTTATTTAGACTGAATTTTCTGCAATAAATTCAAAGGTTCGTAAAAGACTACTAATGCCTCAAAAAATCATAACAATAACAAAATAATGGTAAAAAATGAAATTCACTCTATTTACTTTACCAGATGAAAAAAAAAGTTTTATTCCAATGATGAATTTTGATGGAAAAAAAACTGAAAAGTTTTGAATTTAATGATAGAATTTTAAATAAATAAAATAGACTTTTTTCAATGAAAATTTTGCCATTTGTTTGACATTAACAACAACAGAATTTTTGATGATTAAACAATTTCACTGATATAATGTTTTACAATGTCATCATGATATTGAACACTCACCTGAATCTATTTCTATTTCTTTATGATTGATTGCCATAATGGTGAATTGAATTCACGAATGTAAATTACAAATATATCCAATATGAAAACATCATCATGATGATCATCAATTGAATGATGTGCGAAAAAATGAACAAACAGAATTT